TTGGGAAAGTAGAGTTTCCATTAGTATCTTGGAAGAGCTGCCATATAGTTCCTCTGATGATGATCTGTTTCATTGTCTTCTGATGTTGGGTTCAGGGCTCTGTGGGGGCCAGATAGAAAAGATCCAAACATTTAACCTACCTAAAATCTTTGCACAACACTGAACACTCAGTTGACAGTTTCTTAGGTACACATATTTAAGGTAAATGCTGTGTAATATAACAGTCTTGCAAATCATCAGTTCATATGTGTTATAATGTTCTGTTAATATTGTTTTTGAACTGTATTACTTTATAAAGACATGTATTTCCAATATTTCACCTTCACTCAACACTGACTCATTTAATGATATGCATCTCAACAGCACCACAAACTGCAATCCCCAAAATAAACACATCCTCACCTTTGACCCCATTAAACATGCACAGTAGTTCCCACAGCAAGATCAGATTTTTTATAAAGGTTCGAAGAATACAAACTGCACTCAGTCTGGATGCGAATTAGAGTTAAACAGTTATCATGCTTGTGGTGTTGAATTTTCCACTGCGTGTGTGTCACTATAACGGACAGAGGACAAAGGGACCTGGATCCAAAATCAACTGAGCACTGACAGTTTTAGGTGCAGGTGCATCAAAAACATAAAGGCACATTTGTTCAAATACAAGATGCATCCCTCCTTTTCAGCAAAGAACATAAGCTGGGATGCATTTCCTAAACTAGTTTATTTGTTTTAGTGATTACAAATTCATTAAGTATATGAAAGTCAACATTTAATCAAAACATTCTTATCATACATTATTATGTTCATGAAATCCCTTGAAAAGTAGGAAACATAATATAGACGATTTGTGCAAAACTTGATTTTTATATTTTACGGCTTTCGCTAAATATTGAGTACTTTTATGGTGCTTTGTTGAAATAGTGCATCAGAATATGAACATACTTGTACTGTAACTCGTTACTGCTGCTAATAATAATTACAAAGTTGGTATGGCAACAGACTGATTTAAATTTCAACATGCACATGTATGTACAAATCACAAGGAGGAGTATCATGGTGTTTTTAATTTCTCAGTAAAGCTGCATACTGTGGATTATG